TTCGCGCTTTCCTTGCGGAGGTACATCTGTCTTTTGCCGCTGGGGCAGATACAAGCACACATCACCAGGTATATTTTTTTTACATGCATGTACACACACAATCATACACACCTACGAGACGACTGTACAGACCAATAGATGTGGATTCTGTCGAAGTGCATGCATATGTATGTATGTATGTATGTAATAGCAGACATCTATGTATATATATATATACACACACACAGACACATCGTAATATACGCACGCCTTCTTGCTGCCTGCCAACTCCAACCGCTCCCTCTGCCAACGACTTGAAGGACTGTGAGGTCGTCGCCCAGGGAAAAGGACATGAAGTCTGATCCGTAATGCCTCAGCTCAGATGAAGTTGCGAGTCCGGTACTTGAAGTTTGGAGCTGTGTGCGTGAGAGGTCTCAGGACTGGACATCACACTGATGGTTCCAGTATGCAACTAGTGCCTATGAATACTGGAGTCAGGGGTGCGGCCTGTGAAGATTGGAGTGCGCATTTCGTGGTTCGCACAACGATCGTCCACGAGTGCGCGGACCGTCAACCCCGACTCTGTCAAAGGCTCCCGCTGCACAAACAATAGGCCAAAGCTAAGATTGCTGAGCCCAGAGCGTTCCATCGAAGTCAGCCAGCGCCACTCCGACTAGCGGGAAGTAGCTTGTTCCCATGCCATGAACCGCAACTCTCTGTCGTTTGCCCGCTTGGCCCCTCCTACTTCTGCGTGGTTTCGGAAGCCCTCAAAATTTACGGGAGCGCAAGCCTCGAACCCAAAGAAAAGCAGTCGCAAGGCCCACCAGCCTTGAGGCGCTGACTCTGTGCGTGGTGGTGGAGTCAAGCTCGGACCACTGTTCCTCAAGATTCGGGCTGGCGCTGCGCGTAGGCTGTGCCTTCTACTTAGAAGTTGGGGTGTCAGCGGGTTTAAAGCCAAGGGTTTCGGAAGTGTCTATACAGGAGCTGAAGGGCCATATCGTGAACAGGACTCACACGAAAATTACAGTTCTTCTACGTAACGGAATACAAGAGAACGACATGCTGGCACTGTGAACCAACCAGACAGGCAGCCAAGGGTCCAGTACGACGCTGGAAACAATCCTGTCGCGCCGTCTTTCTGCAGATAGCCGATGCTCCATCCCTTTCAGGGATGCGGCCACCGACTGAATGAAGGATTTCTAGTCTAATGGCAGGGATTTCAGGTTTAGTGGCAGGGTGGACTGATAGCAAACTCGAAAAACCTTTCCGAAACCTCAGACTGATGCATTCCCATTCCGGGTTTGGTCCCCGGCATCTGCGCCATTCGTCTGCGGCGAAGATATGAGGTGGACTTCATCGCCTGCAGTGGCACTGCTCATACTTCGGGGATCTGGCTCTGTACGCTCAAAACACCCGAATCCGAATGTATGCTGTATGCACATTCAAAATTTCGCTCCACGGACGCGTCGTAGGAAGAGTGCCGTCACTTCAAGTCTACCATGCAACATATCTTCTGCTGCAGATATTGCCTCTGGCGAAGGAGATAAACTCGCCTTGGCCGCACATGCAAGAGATCACCACTAGCAAGAGAAGGGCTGCCATCTGACAAGAAAGCCTTTCGGTCTTTTGTGGTAGTACAGGGGTAGGCATTCTTTGCAAATGGAACTTGGTGACTGCCAGAAGCCAGAAGACATGCAGTGTGCTTCCCTGCCGTTGTGTTTCTGCTGAGGGCGGGTGGCCTTTGGTTCGGAGTACAGGAACACCCGGCTCCTTTTGTCGGCGTGGGTGATTCTGATTCTAGTTATCCCCCATCAACCTGTCGATGTGGGTAGGTTTGTACTTCGCTTGTCCTGGCGTCAAATGAAATAACTACAGCGAGATGAAGTGGAACTCAATCAGTTTAAACATCTTCATGCCTTGTACTTCATGTATAGCAAAGTACTCGTATGCCACAAAACATGCTTCCCGCATATGATTCATATAATACAATATGATACAAGCATATATACTATGAAACTAGAAAACAACAGACTACAGTATAATAAAACATGATATGACACGATACGATATGAAATAACAGAACAAGCTATGAAATATTGTACTACAGTATACAGTACCATAGTCTACTCTACTGTAATGTAGTGTACGCATGTCTACATCTACAACCAAGCGAAGGAATAAATAATGAACGGTATGAAGACATAATATGTATACACACATATATATATATAGCTTATATGTAATGATTTGCTCCCCCCCCCCGCCCCGGGTTATCCACCCTTTTTGGGTGGAAACGACTTGTTTATGTGTGCATGCTTGCGTATATAGTATCGTGGCAACCCGCAATAGGCACCAAATTATACAACAGAGACTGTTAAAATAAGCACGCACCCCAAGTCAAAACACAAGGCTTCCCAAAACACATTGAGGCGGAACACACACGAGATTACTCTGGGAGTTTCTCATGGTACACATGCATATATGCAGCTCCTTGTCTTTTTGCGTTTTGTCTCATCTTGGGCGTCCTAGCTTTCCAAATGCGAGTTTCTTCCTGTTACATCATGATCGTGTATATCACCAAGTCTCACACGCGACACGCACAAACAAACATATGCGCGACTTCCAAGCACACCAAAACTAACTTTACAGACGCAAGTAGATTTGTGAAAGTTCTAGATATTTTCTGTAAAAGGTTTCCAGACTCCGCGGGTATATTCAACGATATCTAGAATGGGCCTATATGCGTGTATATACAGCTGTGTATAGAGATCATCGGGTCAGCAGTGGTCTGTGTAAGTGGGGACACTGTGTACTTGATACTTGAGAATCATATGTATCCGACGCAAACGCAAAAGGTCATGCTCGTGTATGTGTAGCCAACCGTGCAACATTGTTGCAGTCTTTGTTGCTGTTGGTGCGGCATGTGTGCAGACCTAAAACAATACAAGAGAGTGTGTGTGTGTGTGTCTGTGTGCTTGCACATGCGTTTAGGGCAATGAGAGCAGACCCGATGCATCCCGAGTGTTTAAGTTCAGTCCACCAGACATATTGAATTCAAGAGGCCTCACGGGCGGATTGAACTTCAATACTCGGAGCGGATCGGGATGGCTCTGATTGCCCCAAACATGTGATCCATGCGATGATTGTCTTTGAAGGTCGTAGGTTTTCAGTTATCTGGGTTGGCTTGTGTGAGAAGCTGTTGCAATTGAAATACACAATTCCGCACACACAGCTCCAAACACTGGACAAGTTATCGGACTGGGAGCTCCGAAACAAGGACAACCAATGCAATAATAGTCGCAAACAAAAAATACGCCTTTGAAGGAGGCTGCGCTAAACAAGCTAGCATTCATACGAAAAACGGTATCGAAACTGAATGTAGCAAAGACATATATGTACATATATGTACATATGTACATATGCAAATGGATCCGGTAACACGATCCAGTTGATCGCATGCATGTATATAGCTTGAGACGGTGGCAACTGTTTGAGCAACCTGCCTGTATGATGCCAAACTCAACTTGTCATGCTACAGTATATGCCGGACGTCTATATCCAAAATCATATGCTACCATGCACATGATGGGGCCTGCAACAAACGGTGGGATATGTAAGCGATTCTTTACGTTGATATGCAAAGTTATATAGATTGACCGGTCTTGTACCTCATTCAAGCGTGGAGAAATGCACGGTTTCGCAGACGCATTGTATCTCATTTATCTGCAAGATTATACTATGAAACACAAAGAACAACCACAAGATTGAAGTGGCATTGATTTATCGGATAGTCTTCATGAGAATCCACAATGAAAGGTAGTCACAAGTGCATCCCATGCTGATTGGGAAAGGACTTCCCATATCAAGCATCAACAGCAACAGGGTTAAGTAAGCTTGAAAACCACTAGTATGCAAACTATGATGATTGTAAGTTTTTGAAATGAAAACTCATAGAAAACAGCATTTTGACTGGAAAATATGGGGCCCGTAATGTCCTACACTCTCAAAATAAAATATGTATATATATATATATATATATACACATATATATATATATATTGGAAACATGAGGCAATGCAAGGGCAGTCCAGCAAAGGCACGGCCGTAGTTGGATCCATCGAAGTCCGCGATGGCTCGACCCGGCTGCATCGAACATGCTCCAAGACTCAAAATGGAATTGGCCTGCGGGGCACGACGATTTCAAGAAGCGCATGCAGCTGTGCAGAAGCAGACACTGGAAACCCAGCCTGAGAAAGATTTCCGGCGTCGTTCATGGCGACGCCATTGCGAACTAACCAAGTGAAAGCTGCTGCAACTTGCCGGTTCAACAGGTGCTGCTCTGATTCTTGAAGCTGGCAGCGTTTTGCAAAGTCTTCCCGCAGCTGCAACTGCCACCCTGAAGTTGTCGCTGCCACTGCTGCTGATGATGTTGCGTACTACTTGCTTGCATGCAGACCAGGAATGACCAGGAGGACAAGGCAAGGTGGCCAGACATGGTGCTAGAGCCATGAGGAAGCACGCGGCACGTATCTCTGACACACTTGAGCCTAAGCTATCTATTTATTTTTCTATCTATACATATATATGTATACACGTAGCCCCCTAAAACCAAAATTCAAATCCAGGACACGGACAACTTTTGTGTTTGCTGGTTGTGTACGGCTGATCGCACACAACCAGCCAGTAGTCAGCACTTCGGGATCTTCATTCTCTCACAAACTGGCCGAAAAGGCTCTCACATGTCTGGAGCCTGATCTGTATGTCAATGGCACCCGGATGCACCCGGGTCAAGAAAAGCCTACTTCTGAAACCTCTGGAGGGCCTCCTCCACTCAGCGGAAGGAACGTAGACGTACTTTGACAAGGACATGCCGCAACAAGTGAATTTGACGAATGCACACGAATCAATAAACAAGCACGTACATGTGTATGTGCACGTGTGTATATGCATACATACATACAAACATACGCATATTGCTGCACACACCAGAACAAAACCCGAGGCAGAGCCCACTGGAAATCCTCGTGCATGTGCATCAGAAGCTTCTTGATGCATTTGAGCTCCTTTGCGTAAGGCATAATCTCACGGACAAGACCCTTGACTCGAACTTCATCCAGAAAAGCCACAGTACATGACTGCCACATCCCAAATTCCAGACTCTAAAGCCCCACTCTTCACCCGCGAGGACGTAGACCCTGCAAAACAAGGAAGGCGAACCCCCGCATCAGAATTTCCCGAGGAAACAGATCCACACCAAAAGCCCACAAACGATGCCGGCTGGGATACTGCTTTGCAAAGAACACAACCTAGATTCTGAAGGCACCAAACATCACCAAACGCACGCGCAGAATGACTAGTGCTAGCACGTGACAACAATGATAGTGGAACACTTGATCAAGCTTGATGTTCAGAGCATCGAGCTCTCGAGTCTTCTGTTTCAGAAAGAAACTTCTTGAAAGATCATGACCTAGTTCTCAGCGCGCACAGACGGTACACTGAGGGCTTGTACGGTACATTAACATGGGACATGGGTCGGGGGTTTAGCGGGATATTCGCGAAATTGTGTTGAGGGCTTATTGTAGTGTCTTGTTTCAGGGTTAGCCAACATTGTCTCCACTTGTGCACGAGTCGGAGAGCACGCGTGCTTGACTCTTTACGTCACACTCCGGCACCTGCAGTACGGGCACACCTCATAGACATCGTTTTGGCGAAAGGCTGCTCGCAGTTCTGTGTTGCATGCTGCGCTGTTCCGCGCATACAGAGAGGCACAGGTGCCCTTGCTGAGCTCTGCTGATCTCGCCGAAGAGACGGGTTTTCAGCACTACACATACGGATGCGCACACGCACACAAACCCAACAGCAGAGTCCTCCAGTCCCTAACCTTGAAACTTGAAACTCGGAACAAGCCGACACCAAAACCCTCAATAACCCAAACCAGCCAGTTCCTTCCAAACACGCAGTGTGTAGCACAACCGCTGTCATGCAGACCAGAATCTTTTCCTTTGGCCTTAGATTTGTCGAGTTTGGGTACGCAGCAAGCGAGTTCAAGTTGAGCAGCAAGGGTTTAGGGTTCAATTTTGGCAGATATAAGGGTGTTCTGATGTATTATGCATTCACCAATCACACCGTCAAAGCTTGTGCACGAGCGTCATCAGTGCTCAGGAAGCCGACTTCATGCGTTATCGATCGGGTACTTGAGAAGGATGACCCGGGCTCCCAGAAACTCAAAGACTCTCACACACAAAACGAAATTTAAACTCACAAGAACCTCCCCCTATTGAGTTCCATATTCACGGAGCTTCCCAGGGTCATCAATGGTACGCCAAATACGGTTATCTCATGCCACATGCTGAAACCAGCAGCGCCCAAGCCTCCTCGCCGGCATAGACGGCCAGAATTCGCCGGCACCGCCGCCGCAGCAGTGAAAGGACCTTCCAGCGACGCTTGCAATTTTTGGGGCAAAGGAGGTCTGCGTGGAATCGGACCAGGAGGAACTTCGACTAATTTGGGGAGGACCACAACCACACGACCACCAAGACGAGCAGGACCTACAGGAACACGACCACCAAAACCAGCATGACCACGAGAACCAGGGGACCATGAAGCTAGGGGCAGGACGGAAGGCAGCAAACGCTAGATACGCTAGTTTCGGAATTTATGTGTTTGCGCGCTTGGACATGTCTGGGCTGTAGGGTGGGCTAATTGGGTTGCGGCGTTGGGCAGCCTGTCTGAGGATCTAGGTTTTAAATCGCTGAGAGCTGGCCATCCTACCAACCAACAGCACATAGACTGAGGCGCTCGTTCTGCAGAACGGAAAGAACAGTGCTGGCTCAATCTGAAGAACTCGTTATGTGCAACTCCACCAACATGCCAACAGGTCGTCCTTGCCCGGTTGTGACTCTTTAACGTCCGTTTGTCCGCCCACAGAAAGAATGACTTCTAGCTCGCGGGCCGCGAGAGTCGATGCAACAAAGGCAAGGCTAACCACTACCAGGAAAGACACAAATACACGGACACAAAACAAACTGGATTCATAAGCTGATGGTGTTGCAACTGTCATGTCAAGACCGACACCCACCGCCAGCCCGGACTGAAGAATCACATCAAGAGATCCATGTCGCGCATCGATTTCCTCAAGCACCCCGAGTTGTAGGTTTAAGAAAGTTGTCTTAGTGTGGAACAGTGCAAAAACCATGTAAAGCCACGTGTGAACTATAATTCCACGGCTGAACACCTCCGTGCTGACAGGACTCTATCGATTGAAACTTTAAACATCTCGGAACCCTGAACCCCAAACACTGAAGCACGCACCTGAGAGCCTGCTGAATTTACATTCTCAACTATGGAAGCCGAGGGGGTCTCGGTTGCAACTGAGCGGGCCCTTGAAGCAACAACACCTGTAAAAGTTCCTTTGCAATACCATCGCAGTCGCTGGGGCCCTCCACAGCCCTGCGCTATGCATCCAGGGTACCCCAGTGTTGTCCAAGACTCCGCCGTCGCTGATGTAGACAGTTCCGGGTGGCTGAGGCGACTGGTAGTAGAAACCTCAGACCATGTTTTTCTTGTACGGTTGTTGCGTCGGGTGATGGGAGCCAAACCTGAAAGCATCAACACTGACCCCATGTTAAGATTTATGTTCAGAACTTCGAGGCCGTAACCTACTGCAACCCAATGTGCTGGCCAGGCACTGGTTTAGAAGCCTGTCCTGACATGGATCAGCTGACCTATCCTTTAGCCTCCAGCGAGTGAACCCCAGACCAAACACACCAAGGGATGATTTTCCAAGTCCCGGTGCACAGATGCGGGGAAAGAGTGCTGATCCTTCATGCATATCAAGCCCAGCCGTACCATGACAGTCTGTCACAAGACGGTACCGCCATGAACCGAGTATAGAAGTTCATTGGAATTCCCTGGGGTCACCTCTGCGGCACCTGTTCACCCATGCTCGTCCAAATCCTGCTACTACAACCCGAAGATCCTCAACGAGCGGCGTGTTGCTTGCTGCAGCGTCCGAAGGAGAGGCGAGTGCTGCAGGAAGCCTGCTGCAGGAGAGCTTGGGTCTATGCCCGCTTCCGTTTTTATGCACTAAGAATCGGTCAAGAGCATGCAGCTTCGGCTTTCTTGTGTGATGGCCGGTGCCGTTGTTTCCTGGCGATCGCTAGACAAAAGTTGGTAGTGCTGACGCAGTCCTTCATGAGGTGAGTGCCACAAAAGCCTTCCCTGAAAGCCAGCAGAGACTGCTGCGGCAGCAGGTGCCGGGCTTCAAACCAAACGAACTCGTTTGAGCGTCAGAGTCTGAAGCCTTTCTGCAAGTTCAAGGCTCGTCTACACCAAAGCGTGCAGCAGCCACTCCGGCCCCAACCTAGAAAGGGGAGGAAGCTGAAGAAGGAGAGGCCGGCCAAGCCAGCTGCCAGAAGTGCAGACCACTGACCTCCGCATAAACTCATGGGAAACTGGTCTTGCGCATAGGAGTTGCTCTCAGTCCCTAGGTTTGGGGGTATGAAGATCAACATGGTGTGACATGTATGGGCATGATAATCTGCCGCAGCTTGCAAATCACTCATGGAGACTTGGAATTCTACCTCTGTGCTCCCCCTCAAACTCATGTACTCCCCAAACTTGACCCCAAAAATCTTACCTAATGCCAAGCCCCCTATCCTGGAAATGCATTGAAAGGCTAGTGGCAGAGCCGAAAAGCAATGGAGCAGCGATCCAGCGATGGATGCATCGACAAGACCGTGGCAGCCAGAAGCAACCTCTGGGCATCGAAGAGGGCTTAGCGGCTTCGCGGCTGAAACCTTGCACCCATTTCTACGTGTTTTGCATACAAGACTGGAACTTCAGGTCGACAGACGCAACCTCAATCGAACCCCCAACACCATCTGCAAGCTCAACTCCAGAAGCCCAGCACTTCCAGCCCGAAAAGGCTGCCCAGAAGCCCATAGATCAGCTCCCACCACAAAAGCGTCGGAAGTCTTTGCAGCCATGCCCTGAACCGCAGGCCAGGCCCTCGCAGGGAAGCCACAAAACAGGTAGCCACACCCTCTCGATGGCATGGATGCGTACTCGTTCTAGGAGTCGAAAACAGAGGAAGAAGCCGGTACACGGGCTAAATTTCTGTTCCGCATGGACGAAAATAATAGCTACTGCTAGTTAACGGCATTTAAGCAACACCGTAACAAGCATTGGATGAGTGGCAGCAGCCAGTACATAACATGAAGCACTAAACCCTAAAACGCTTTATCTGAAGCCCCAGAAACGCGCATCGCCACAGCTGTCAGTATCATCGTGGTCATCATCGCGCGTCAAGGTCACCATTTGGCCTCGTAGACGTGAAATTAACCACGCCGCCCACTCCCCCGCTCCGCCACCCACAGACACCAACCCAAACGAAAGGAACCACAACAGGGAGTGACCTCGAAAGAAGCAGCAACCTCAAAATCAGAACTTGTATTTCCGGCCCTCACGGGCAAACGTGCTAACGCGCCCCCTTACAATGGAGCTTCTCAAGCCTTGTACAAGCTGGGCGAGGTGGTTCCGACTATCGCGAGCTACAACCTGCAATTGACTTCCTTTTTCGCTCCTGCACTTAAGGACGCAAGCGAGATCCAATCGACTAAAGTGACTAAAGCTAGCATACCTAAGGACATATGTTCTCAAACCGAGTGAAATCTGACATTTTCTACTTGTAGGATCAGACCAATACTTCAAGAACAGTTGTAAATCTTTAGCGAATAAGTCGTGCCTCTTCAAGGGCTTGTGTGGTTCTTCATTCGGGGATCGCTGGGCTGTCGGGCCTGGGGCCCTGGACAGCGACACTTGAGATTTGTGGCCCAGGCCCAAATTTCTGAAGGTCCAGTGAAGAAAGGGTATCTCCGCGGTTTAGGATGGCTGAAAGGATTTGGATGCAAGAGCCTGAGCTTGTTTAGCGAGTATACAGGCTCAGGGTGAAGGGCCCACTCCCAATCCTCCCAACTTCGTCCTGCAGTGCGTGCGATGTGCACAAAGTCGCCCATGTAAACGCCCAGAAACTCCAACCAGAATCTCAAGCTGACGCTGTCGTACTTACCTTGATGCAAACATGAGGTCGTGATTCCAGGCCCAAGAACATATCGAACCAACAACCATCACCACACCACACCCCCAACCCGACTCTACAGCAGTTGTAGCTTTCGAACCTTCGGAGCTGTTGAAACTCGGGATGGGCGGGTAGATCTTTCTCCACCGGGCATCGCGCCGATTTCCCCGATGCGTGCGTCCAGTTGGCACCAGACAGTTTAGGGCGAACTAAGCCGACAGCACTTGAGTACATCCATGCGAGGCGTGAGCAATAAGGATCACAGCAATCGACAACTGTCGTCAGAATGCATCAGAAGCAACATACAGCAGCAGATGTGTGCGTCCACCTACGTACGCTCGACGTGCCAAGCATGGAATCCTTGGCTGAAGAAATTCAAGCACATACTATCAAATCCGGTGGCTCATGATGAAGCCGTCGATTGCGCCACCACTCAACGCAGCAGTGCGTGCCAGGGGCCTCGGAGACTTCATGCTGCGCCACGGACACAGTTACCGCCGCTGCTGCAGCTGTTGGCAGAAAGGAACAGCGTGGGTCGAACGTGTTTGCACTTCGTACGACCAAACCTCAACACTGCTCGGCCAACTGCACTTCGACGGCGACGATGGAATTGGCTTGCAATTCGAACCCTGACTGAGGAACCAAACTACTCGCCCTACTGCGGAACAGTGCCTCCGTGCTTGGAAGAACACACCGGTAACAATGTAGGAAAAAGACATTTAGTCTGGCAAGAAATCCCTCTTAGAAGCAGATACTCCTACTCCTACTCCTACTCCTACTCCTGCTCCTGCTCCTGCTCCTACTCCTACTCCTACTCCTACTCCTACTCCTCCTACTACTACTACTACTACTACCACCACCTGCGCTGCAACCACCACTGAGTAGTAGTAGCCGTCGTCGTAGTCGCAATCGTGGTGGTGGTAGTCGTCGTGGTAGTGGTGGTGGTCGTAGGAGTAGTAGTTTCAGTAATAGTAGTCGTAGTAGTAGTAGTAGTAGTAGTAGTTGTAGTAGTAGTAGTAGTAGTAGTAGTAGTAGTAGTAGTAGTAGTAGTAGTAGTAGTAGTAGTAGTAAGTATAAGTGGTGGTAGTAGTAGTAGTAGTAGTAGTAGCAGTAGTAGTAGTAGTAGCAGGAGTAGTAGCAGCAGCAGTAGCAGTAGCAGTAGCAGTAGCAGTAGCAGTAGCAGTAGCAGTAGCAGTAGCAGTAGCAGTAGCAGTAGCAGTAGTAGTAGTTGTTGTGGTAGCAGTAGTAGTAGTAGTAGTAGTAGTAGTAGTAGTAGTAGTAGTAGTAGTAGTAGTAGTAGTAGTAGAAAGTCTTATTATTCCTATTCTTATTCTTATTCTTTATTATTATTATTAGTAGTAGTCGTAGTCGCAGTCGTCGTCGTAGTAGTAGTAGTAGTGGTAGTGGTTGTGGTAGTGGTAGTGAGGTAGTGGTAATGGTGGTAGTAGTAGTAGTAGTAGTAGTAGTAGCAGTAGTGGTAGTAGCATTAGTAGTAGTAGAAGAAGTAGTTGTAGTAGTCGCAGTAGCAGATAGTAGCAGTAGCAGTAGTAGTAGTTGTAGTAGTAGTAGTAGTAACAGTAGTAGCAGTAGCAGTAGCAGTAGCAGTAGCAGTAGCAGTAGCAGTAGCATTAGCAGTAGCATTAGGGGTAGTAGTAACAGTAGTAGTAGTAGTAGTAGTAGTAGTAGTAGTAGTAGTTGAAGTCGTAGTAGTAGTAGTGGTGGTAGTAGCAGTAGCAGTAGTAGTCGCAGTAGCAGTAGCAGCAGCAGCAATAGTAGTGGTAGTGGTAGTGGTAGTGGTAGTGGTAGTGGTAGTAGTAGTAGTAGTAGTAGCAGCAGTAGTAGTAGTAGCAGTAGTAGCAGTAGTGGTAGTGGTAGTAGTTGTGGTAGTGGTGGTAGTCCTGGTGGTGGTGGTAGTGGTAATCGTAGTGGTAGTGGTAGTGGTAGTGGTGGTGGTGGTGGTGGTGGTAGTGGTAGTGGTAGTGGTAGTAGTAGTAGTAGTAGTAGTAGCAGTAGCAGTAGCAGTAGCAGTAGTAATAGTGGTAGTAGTTGTTGTAGTGCTACTACTACTACTACTACTACTACTACTACTACTACTCCTGCTGCTGCTGCTGCTGCTGCTACTTCTACCAAAACAACTTTAAACAACACTGTGATGATACGGAAGAAAAATACCACGTAAGTACGCGTCTGATTGTACCAATACGAATCAGAACTACAACAGCCACTGTAGCCATGATGATCATGTTACAATGCCTCGAAATGATCTGTTAATTATTGAACCCTTACAGTACTCTTGAAGGAAAATGAACGAGGACTGAGGTGCCGTGCTCCGAATGCCCAGAAGTAGCCGACACGCTTGCCGCCCGTGTGAAGCTGGCTGAAGGTGATGTCCTCAGTGCCGCTCTGGGGGTGCAGGGCAGGATGAGTTGAGCACGTCTTCCGAGGCAAGCATTGGTAGAAACAGCAACCTGTGCGGTGTGCAGCAGAGGCAGTTGAAGTGCTCAGTGTGGTGTTTTTGCTATGCAAAAATCTAAATCGGCTGGCAAGCACGCAGGATTGGGCACGGGTTTCTGGCACTGGAGTTTCTGCATTCGCAAGTTCAAAATATACTGTGTACAGCACACGAAGATCAGCATGCTTCTGCACGGTGTTCACAGCAGCGAACATATGTACATATATATATATATATATATATATGGGGGTTGTTCTATATCCTTGTTCCACGCATGCCAATTAGGATCGCTTGCGCTTCGCCCTTGCGCGTTCCTTGGGCGTGCTTGCGCGCACGAGGGTTTCTTAAGACTATAGGGTTTGTTACAGTGGCTTGTTGACGCTTGGCGGCTTCGAGTCGAAGCTTCGGGTGCGGGTACAACAATGGGGCTTCAAGGCTCAAGAAGTTGTGCTGGGTCCTCCATGGCTTTGGGCAGGCGACCTTGCGCGCCGTCTTGCGCGCGCTTGCGCCGATCTTGCGCGGAGGATGCCATGTCAGAACCTAATTTTCAACAGTTCGCGACTCTGCTACCGCGGCTTGCAGAATATAAGAATGAGAGCGCTTACTCCAGAAGCGGAACGTCCTTGGTTTGGGTTTAGGGTTTTATTTAGGGACTATAGAGTTTAATTAGGGTTTAGCGTTTACGGGGTGTTTAGGGTTTAGGGTGTATAGGCCGGGTTACATACAACGCTGCTGAGTATCACTCTTGAATCAACCTTAACCACAATGCTTGCGCATAGCTTGCACTCGCCCTTGCCAAGGGCGCGATCGAAAGGGTGTGCACTTTTTTAAGCGCCCGAGTTTTCGCTAATCGCCCTCCTAGTATTGTCACAAGAGCCCCCCAAAAAGAACAACACTCATATACACATATATACATAGGAGGATGTCTCATTCAACGGATGGCCATGTTTGTGAGTTCTCTGCTCGAGATAAGATGAAGGGCAAGCTCGCCAGCTGCAGCGTAAAAGCTGTGGCTGGAGAAAGCACTAGAAAGCCGGGCTTCCACAACAAGCACGTCATTTTCAAAATCGAGCAGAGCTAGGCCTGAACATAAGTGGCTAGCAGCAAATCAACATCAGAAAACAACAATTGCCCCAACCATTATCGAAATGCTTAGTTTCGTGAACATTGGCAGTGCAAATTAACAAGAAACACAGGAACACTGATGTCAACAATACAATGACAGCAACAAAAACATGAAAATGAGATGTTGATCAAGATGACCATTATACGTGTCCTGCATTGCTTGCGTGGTTCTGCCAGGCAGGGTGTCAAGGATATACTCGCGAATTCCAAGTCTGTTCGAGCCCCTTCGACCGTTTCGGCCGCGGTGTAGCAGCGCCATGCAAAGTTTCAATGCAGCAGAAGTCGCGAATCGCACAATCAAGGAGAGGATGATGATAATTTGCTGGTCATGTTGGAGATGGTATGAGTCAAAAAATCAAACTGAGCAGGAGGATACAACCCCACACACCCCCAACGCCCCGCCACACCCCACCATAGAACTGCAGCAAAGTTGAGCTACCAAAAGCCCCAGTTCTAGTTGGTGCTAGCCACGAAGCAGAAGATAAAGCTTTCTGTTTCTGTTGCACACTGCGACTGCCTAAGCAATGAAACTGTCCCAACGAGGGCTTGGTGTCGCTGATTGGCTCGGTGTCAACGAGCCGCAAGTAGTCCTCAGACATAGTCTACGGTTACGGGTCTAAGCCTTACTTTGCCTGTCCGCAACACAAGGTGAACAGTTAGCAATGCGGGCATCTATAATCTTCAGGCGGCTAGGTTCAATCGGAAAACCTAAACTTTGCAAGTCTACTGTTGGACCACCAGTTTGCGAAACGGCAGTCAGCAGGCCAGGTCAAAGCATTCGGCTACACAGTACTAGTACTTCGACGCGAACCGAATGTCACATGAACATGTTACGGAACATTCCCGTTTGCACCTATGCACAATGAGCCAGTCAGCCAAGTGTCGTTGACCGCAGCGTTCAACAGCAGGAGCGGACAGTAGGGATTCTTACGAACGGCCGACCAGTTGCAGTTCTTGCCGCCAGCATAGAATGCCAAGTGCAAGCTCCGGCTATAATAACGGTGCCTCAGATGTTGGTGAATCCTCAAGCCATCAAGTTTCCTATCCGAGTTTGGAACGGCAGCATGCTGTTATGTGGATCTGTGGCTCAGGCTTACATGGCCGGAAGCCTTGGATAAAACACCCGGGTCAACCTCGAAAAAAACAGCTTGGATACTCCAGGTGGCATGAAGGTGCGCAGAAATCGCGAGAAGCAAATTCCAATCAAGCAAAAGACGAGGCTGGAGGCCATGATCCTGGAGAGTTGCGGGGGCGTGTTAAAACCAAAATGTGTCGTGATACCTGCACCACGTATGTGCCACGACAAGACAGTTTCCTTGTAACCCCAAGCCAACACCAAAATGCAGGTTTGTTGGGGCTTTGGCGTGTGATGGCGTGTGACTGCAGTCTTTGTGCTTGATACGGAGGCTCCCCAGAAAGCAGTGGATACTGGGCGCCCATCACGACGAATTCAACGATCTGCCCCGATCCGAAGCAGGCTGCTACAAAACAGGACCCGCTTTGGCAAGAACCTGAGTAAAAGACTGACAAACGAACGACACGCCCAATTCCCAGATGCCTCTTCCACGTCATCTCGTCCAGTACAGAACCTGAACACAACGGAACACCGTTCATCAACAGTCATCAAGCTCCCGGCTTCAAGTGTGTACAACGTACAGCCCGCGACTATCTTTGAAAAAGATGCTCGGCACCGCACGGACTACGTGAGCCGTGGCTCTAGCCTTTGCCTGTTCTCAGCATGAGGATGCTGGCTCTGTGCTTTGAAACCTTTCGCCCCTGCACAGGTGTGATCCCCCTCGGACTTCAATTGTTTCTTGCTGCCAGACCTGCGTATCGCTCGTGGGTGATGTCACCCAGAACACGGAACTGCACCTGCTTCGATGCGGGGTCTCCAATGTCCAAGGCTGACAGGCTCCTAATTACGACATGGACGCCTGAACCAAGGTTTTCGAGACTCTACACCATTAACATTGTTAAGAGCGAAAAACACTATATTTCTGATTGCTTCTGTGGCTGATTGGACCTTGAATCCCCAATTCTGATTCAAAAAAAGCGCTCGAATCTGACCTGTTCTATGAACCTTCGATGGCTCGGCCACAGAATTTCCTGGCTGTCTGTCGGGCCCTCCAACCTCCATCCCTGGATCTGGAACCCATGTAATGCCGTAGCGTTCTCCCGTACAACTGACCACCACATACCTGGATCGCTGGCATATTATGTGAAGTTGGGGTGCTTTATTCAAAGTCCTTGTCATGAGGATCCTCGTTAATGTGTAACACCCAGCATTAACATGGCGTTTGTCCTGCACATGTTGCATCTACCGGTGAGTGAAGGGCTGCTGGAGCAATAAACGGACTCCGTTCCGAAATTACGGCCCGCGTCCCCGATCATAAAGCGACTGTTGCATCTTGGACATGTCAAAGTAGAAATGCTTCTCAGCACGACATATCGGAAAACCAGGGATTCTTCGCAACAGGAAGATCGCTTCTCTAAGCCTTGCGCATGCCTGTACTGCCCTGACCGGCAAGGCCCAAGGCACCAAGAAGAAGGTGGATCCGAATAGCAGGAAAGGGACCATCACATTGAAGGTGCTCACCTTGCACGACTACTGCAACTCCCTTGCTTGGGCTTGAGGCTAGCAGCTAGCAAGATCCTTTCCTTCACAAGAAATATAGCAGGGCAAGGTCGTTACAGATGGATGGGCTTGTGGCCTCCTGGTGTCAGACATCATTCAGAATCCCTCATTGCCATAGAGTCGTGCATTGAACCCGTTCGCTGGATGCTTGGCATCTTTGTTCGTTCCCCAGTGTCCTCATCTTGCGCTCACAAATCACGTCTAAGCAGCGGAATTAGTGTTTTGCTTTGCACTTCAGTGACTGCGAGAAGCTATTATCGCAAAAGACGTTGTTGCAATCCCAACCGCGCCCCGTGGGTTTTTTCTGCGGCGCAGGCGCGAAGAGGTCCGGGAAAATCGGCAGGAGCAGTAGGCTTGCCAGAAGTGCCAAGGCAAATACCATGAGAAGCACCGGCAAGAAGGTCTGCCTTTAGCGACGTCAGAGCTGTTCGTTCCAGAAAATCACAGGATTTACAATTGGGCCAAGAATGAATTCGACTTCTCCAGGACCCTGATTCACCTGAGGTCCACGAAAATCCAAACCCCACACCAGTCTCTAGAGTTCCCTAGCTACGTGCACCCAAGACGTACGAAAGCAACACTTTCTACACAGCTTCTGATACTGTTGGGAGATGTTAGATTTGGGCCAGGGGCGACAGAGGGCGGTGAATCAACCAGTCCGCTGCCACAGCCTCGTACGGAAGTCTATGCTCGGAACAACGCTGGAGAGTAGGGGGCTTTCATATTGACGAGTATCCTTATAGTGATCCCCAACATGCACACTCAATATTCCCAAGGAGGCCTACAAAGTCTCGCAAGAACCCGAGCAAAACACTCGAGTTGATGTTCGCAATGTATCGTCCGATTTGAGCGAGGCGTAGAATGTAACTTTGGCATGTATTTCTTTGGAAATTCGGCTTAGTTCGGGCTTTTCGGGTATTCGCGGTTAGGGTGTTGTGCCCCGAGATGTGCCAGCTACCCGCTTAAACCAATAGCTCTCTGTAACGAAACGCGGCTGATTAGGAGAAGCTGAACCGAAACTCTCTGCAAGCATAGTGGAAGGCTTTGGCTTTGGGATGTAGGACTCCACGTTTAGGTTTTGCGGCCGATGCATCCGAAAACATAGCACGTAGCTTGTCGCAGCCCGAATCACGGAAGCAGCCTCTGCACCCCTATGTACCGACGGTAGACAACACCCGCGGCAAACAGCAACACAAAGCAGTGACAGGCTGAGTCACAGGAGCGCCTGCCACCACAGAAAAGCTGCGGACATGCCTTTGGACATGTTTACACCCGCGTATGATGATGCTATTGAAAATGTTCTGTGTATCATGTCATACCACACTATGTCGTACTGCCTCGTATTGTGTCGTCTGAACTACAATGAAGTATCGAAGCCTCCCGGGAGACTTGGGGCGTAGGGCCCGTGAGGCGCGCAGCCGTCAGCGCCGAGCAGTTCAGGGAGACCTCGGGTGTCGCTTCTGCCATTGCCAGGGCTTCTGCTTGATTGAGGCAGAACCTTTCCCGAAAGCGCATTGACAACCATCGGTTCCCGAATCCTCAAACCTGCTCAAGCACGCAAGACTGGACCCCAAGCATGAGAGGTCGCAGCACCCATCGCTCTCGCCAGCGTGTAGTGTTGTGGCTGGTCAGCGCGACCTTATTGCTTTCGACCACTCGACCGCTAGAGCAGTGTGAGGACCACTTCTGCAGATAGTCTGGCAGACCCAGAAAAAGCAGTGAAGATGGCAAACAAAAAGAACATCAGAGGACCTGCGTTTTCGCATTCGGGCCTGGAACTCAGGGGGCCTCAGAGTCCTGGAGCAGCTACTACGGTACTCAGCTCTGTGCCGACTGTGGAGCTAAGGAGCGAGGCGGCTGGGCGCTCTTTCACTAACAAAAGAACCAAAGCAAGGATCCCTCTTTCAATTTAGTCCGGATGCAAGGCCTCATAGTGTGCTTCAACTCCTAGACCTCCAAAACTCCAGGCTTCGGAAGCTAACCAAGAAGTCACGAAATGACTTCAAGAGGAGTTGACTCCGGGCGGCCTCCCCGCAATGGTCGCAGCTCTTGTGCTCGAAAAAAGCCGCACACTGGCAGTATCTCCTTACTGTGGCAACTGTTGCGAGCTTCGAGCGTTTGACGTTGAGATGTCAATCACCATGAATCCCAAGAGGGCCGCGTTTAGGGTTTGTCAGGTTTGCGGTGTTCAAGAACCTGAAACTAGTTGAGTGCTTTCTGTATCTAAAGCACTCCCGATCAGGAGGCCCTTCGAGAATGTGCGAAGTGATGGCGGGCAAAGGTGGCACATAGCAGCAGTCAACGCTTGTCTAGAAGCGAAGCCCCAACCAAATCGCAAGAACTAATGGAAATAATCCAGGAAGGTTTTGTTGAACAGGCACGAATCTAAGCCGAGCAGAGACTGCGGCTGCAGCGGAAAAGTGTCGGCAATCAGAAGTTGCTACGTTTTGCCCGACCTACCTAAGTGCACACAGAGAGCTGTTTATCTGTTTATTTGCGGCATACCAAAGCGACAGAGGGACTAACGCTGCGAGATCCAGCAAAGACATGGCAGCTGTCCCGCAAGAGCTGAGAATGGCGTCCATGGCATGACCAACACAACTATCTGCCACAGACATACAGAGGCTGAATCGGTCACTGTCCAAGTATTTCGGCTCTTGAACTGCGTGGGAGATCCCAGGTAGCACTCCAAAGGTGCTATCTAAACCCTGTAAGCGGCCAGCTCTAAATCTAAAAACCCTGAAACAGTATAAACCTTATAAAGCCAAGTTTCAGCTCCGTGCCGCCTTCCACCGTGGCATATCCTTTCAATGCAAAGGTGGGGTTTGAAATGGGGGTTCCAAGGGGTCCTAAACTTGCTTAACAACGCGCAGCAAAATACCTGACATGCCGCTTGACATGTTGCTAATTTCATAGGAGGGCTCGTACATTCACTTGGAAGGGATGGGCAGTCGGCACAGTGATTTCTTTCCGCTTGTTCGAGGAGACAGGAACGGAGGCTCCGATGGACAGGGAAGGCCTCACAAATTTGATCCAAGATGACCCAAGCTCCAAGCTCTGGATTTAGGATTCCTTCTCAACGAAATGTCGACCTCCACACAAAGACAGCTCAGAGCCCCAATGGACAAAGAAATTCGGGTTTAGCAACAGTTGCTGTCTGTCACCCGGGGGTGCTTCAAAATCAGAAACTTCTTGACTTGTAAGGAAGCCGAACAACCAACGACACAGAACTGCTCCAAGTAGCTATGCAGCCTCCAGGCCACAGGCCCCACCTGCATGGCAACCCCATGGAGGTCTGAAGCCTTACAAACTTCTGAACAATGTAGACCCTGATTCATACACCCCCTGCCCCTAGGATCCCCTAGGATCCTTGAAGTTCTGAATGATGGGTCGACACTACTTCGACTTCAGATCTTCACTCAGTCAATGCAGTGCTTGTCTACGTCACCTGGGAAACGTAAACCGGTCTTTTTCCGCAGGTTCGCGGGTCTGCGGCAACTGAACATACGCCAGTCTTTGCATAAACCTGGACGGCAGCCTTATAGCTCAACTGTGTCGAAACACATGATGCTTCAGTAACGCGCCCGTCCGAAGTTATTTGTTGATAAAAAACCTTCAAAACCTGCATTTATATATGCTGGCTTTGACATGGACCTGAAACATGACAGCATAACTAGTCCGATGCCCAGCCGCGACCAGGGCATCCAGAAGCAACCCGGCGGCCAAAAGGCGCACCAAGACTGCGAGACTGCTCCTGCATCGACTGGCTCGGGCTTCGGCTGGAGGGTCTATAGGTCAAAGTGGGGCTTCAGAAAGCCTTGGGGTGGCGGCACCTGCTTTGAGGTTTATGGCGTTCGGCTGGCAGCACATGCTTTGCAACCACGAAATGTTGTTGTTCTCTTCAGAAGCTTCTGGGCAAGATGTCCTAACAAAGCCCAACATCAGACCCGTCCAGCAGCTATGTGCCCAAAAACTGATGCTGTCAACCTGTACTGAACAAGGACGCCGACAACAAACGCAGCAGCAGCAGCAGCAACTGCACCACCACCTCCACCAACCAGCCACCACCGCCACCATCCCCAGCACCACCACCACCAAGCACAACACAAAACACCCCCAACAGCATAAACCCGCAACACCACCAGCACCATCGCCGCCACGCCACCACAAGCACCACGCCAAACGCACCGCCCCCCACCGGCACCAGCAGCACCAGCACCAGCACCGGCACCACCACCGGCACCACCACTGCCGCCCCCACCACCGCTGCCCCCACCACGGTTGCCACCACCACCACCACCACCACCACCACCACCACCATGACGAGCCACAACAACAGCATCCAAACGAACAGAAACGCGTTCTGTTTTGAATTTCCCAATTCCTATCACGTATATTTTGGTAGACTGCGGCGCCCCGGCCTGAGGCCCGTGTAGCATCTGGCAATGCCCAGGGACGCCCTTCCATCCTGTCGGATGTCGAAATCAACAATTCAGACCCAGCCTCCAGAACCATGTAATCTGTGAGTCCAGGCCTCCAGGCCTAAACCATGCATGACGAGGTACTAACAGGATTGGAGCTCTCGGTGTCTGGCAGCAGAAAACCATGACACCTGATCTCCCAAGCTGGTGCTCGCCGTATCCCTCAACTCCAGGTCGAAGATTTTGGGTTTCATGCCTGGCTCCTGGAAAACTCTTGAGGGTCTAGGTCCTACATGTTTTCTCAATGTGTCTGTGCGAAGATTTCAAGATCGGCCTTCGGGCTCTCCTCGTCGCTGGGTGCCTCGATGTGGTGACCCGCAAGCCCGACAAACCCGCAACCCACATCGGATGGCATGCGCATGTGGTTTTCGGGTTGAATGTTTGGTTTCAGGGGTCAGGCCAAGGAAAGCTGCATGGCAACCATACAAGCTTGGTCTGCCTTCAGCCTCGCTAGTCGAGCACACAATAATCCTTGCCCTAGCCGGCACTACCGCTACTAAGCCGATGCAGAAAATCGGAAGAATGCAGCGCATAACCTTCAGCGCACTGCAGGGAGAACGCAAGGAAAGCCTTTTCAGCTTACTGTAAAAGGTATAGGAACACAAGCACTCCCGGGAGATTCGACTCTCGCAACTTGCGGACCGGGTGGAACTGGTGCCATGGGGGTTTAGGTGTCGAGCTGTGAGCTAGGACTCCAAAGGAAAAAAGTACTCCTTGTGTGGAGGACTGCTGGATGTTTGGGTTTCTGACTGTTCGGGGGCAAACCCTAAGCCTCAACCCCTGCCAAACAAAGAGTTCTAGACCGCACTGGACAAGTCCAGGTCACCATCTTCGTCCTCACGTGACGCGTGAGAAACCTCAGCCGCAGGGCCGTCGGACTCAAACGACATGCATTTACTTGCCCCTCCAGGTTTGTGGATCCTATTTACCAGGATGCCGAAAACTCTTCCCGCTTTTTTCGTGCCTGCATAAGTTGGAGCGCTGAGAGACTGAGAACGATCCCCACGGCAACAGCACGCTGTGATGTCTGGGACCTCGCGGTTTCATGAAGCTTCCATCTGAAGGCTACTGTATCGGCGATCCCGCCAACCATCCCGGCCAGGCTGGCAATGCAGGAAGGGGGCCCGAGTGTCAAGAAGGTCACAAAAACATCATCCTAAGTCCGAGCCCAGCGTGTGACAAGTCCTGACAGAAGTGGGCACGTAATCTGCCCCAGTGCAGTCGCCTGGGGGGCGAGACACCAGGTTCTAGTACAACGTCCTGTGCGTTCCTTGCCATTCCTACTGTCGAATGCGTCTGCCGTCCGGGAAATCATGTTTCTCTGCCCAGAGACATCTGGCACACGTGCACGATGAAGGCAGCGCAGAGTAGGGCCAACAGAACCAATGCCTGGAGCAGATACGCGGGCCATGTGTCAAGACAAGGCTTGGGCCTCTACATTTCACTTTCCTAGCGACTGCGGTGTGCGAAGTTTGAAAGCAAGGCATGAACTGAGGCAGGCTTCAAAATCGGGATTCGAGCAAGATGACGAAGAGATGTCTGACAAGCACAGAAGTTTTCGCTTCGAGAGGTCAACGGGCTTCTGTGTGAGCACAACGCGGCATGTATGTATCTATACATATATATGTATATATATATATATATATATATGTTGGTTTGTATGTTGATTTGTTTATTTGCACATATTTATGTGTGTGTGTGTGTATATGTATATGTCTATGCATATGTACATGTATATGTATGCATACATACGCACATGCTCATGTACTTTACTGGTTACAAGATAACTTTAAATCTTCTACATCGGTTTGTTTGTGTGTTATGCACTACCTACATGTTTACGTATGTAGTTACTAATACAGATATACGTATATATGTAGAGAGAGGGAGGGAGGGAGAGAGAGAGAGAGAGAGAGAGAGAGAGAGAGAGAGAGAGAGAGAGTGAGTGAGTGAGTGAGTGAGTGAGTGAGTGAGAGAGTGAGAGAGTGAAAGAGCGAGAGCGATAACGAGAGGGAACTCTCAAACAAACCACCCCGTGCCACCTGCTTCTGCGCCGAGCTCTTTCCGAGAATGCTCAACACCTGCAAGTCGCTGATTCACTGATGGAGTTCGGGTGTAGGTAGTCGCGTGGATGGAAGTTGCACAGTTCCGGGCTTGGCGGTGCGAGCTTCGCAGGCTTCGGGGATATAAGAGCCCACATCCTCAAGTCGTGCTTTGGAAAAACTAAGATCTGTTCATCGAACCCGAACAAAGGCAGAGCGATAGACATGTAATAAGCAGCTACCAGCTCGCACTGAGCTTTGCTCCAAACATACGTCGCATTTGATGCCCCTGTACCCAAGGCAGGACCCATGCTCCAAAGATTATGACGAAAGAGTGCACAACTGGATTCTGTGGGATTAAGGGCTGGCGATGGAACAGACAGCAAGCGCCTCCGTGTCCGGCTCCAGAACATCTTTGCAGAACTCGGCCCTGATCCAAGCCGTGAAAGCTTCGAATTGGGGGTTAAATGCACACGCTCTGAAGCCCAGGCACCCACGCAACTTCAATTTGCCCTCAACAAAAATCATGGATAAACATTCTCGTCGTCGGGTGCTGAAGTTTTCAGGCCTGCTTCGATATTAGGGGACATGGGGCTTGAGCAGCCGGCCAAAGTTAACTGCTTCCAGAAAGGCCGCCCGGTCAGCCATACATCTCAGCTCTACATGTTCGGGCATTATCGGCTGAAATCTCTTCCAAGAACAACTCCTTCTGAACACGGCCTCATCTCAGCGCCATACCTCGGCCAAGGACCATGGACCTACATCCAAGTTGCCTCAGTCCCAACCAAGCGATCAGAGGTTCTTTCGCCCACCCCCCAAAGTACATATTAGACATCTCTATATATACATATACATATACATATACATATACATATAAATATAAATATAAATATAAATATATATATATATATATATATATGTATATATACATACATACATACATACATAGACTTTTACATATAAGGCTATAAATCCATTTCCCACCACCCTGATGCCCTGACCTTGAACATCGAGTTTCCAACATCGGCCCAGAAGCAGCATCTCGATGACTTGCACGGCCGGCAGCAGGAAAAGGCAGGATATCGACATCGGAGCCCTTCGGCGGTTTGAGAGTTAGGGCCTGCTTGGTTTCTGGGTTCCAGTCAAGGAGTTGAGGAGTTTTGGATGTGGTGCCCTGGCAGGTAATTCTGGATGTGGCATCTAGCATCCAAGTTCGCGAGTTTTCGCGCCAATCATCCCTGCTTCCTGTGAACATCATGGAGGTATGTGGGCGTTGAGTTAAGGCTCCAGCACTTGAGTTGAGGCCCCATCGGCAGCAAAACCTGCTTCATGAGCTGGAGCCCAGTTCAAGTATGTCCAGGACCCCAATTCCAAGCAGGGGCTCCCAAACTCCGAGGTCGAAACCCAGATGTCCTTAAAGGCCCTTGCGCCCCCCCTAGAGATGACCAAAGCAAGCAGAACGGAAGCCTCAGCACCGTGCCAGCTCCCACTGCAAGAAGCAAGAAAAGGTCGCAAATCCGAGGCAAAGCTCCGGAGCCCTCCTGCCGGACAGGACTTCACGGACAGGAGAGGCGGAACGAAGGATTCGATTCGCGTCTGCGTTGGTACCATGGCCAGAAGACAGCGGACTTGCCTTGCACTTAAGCAAAAACAAAGACAATGCCTGGCAACTCTGATGCTGTTGAGCTCCATATTGCAAAACCCACCTGGCTCTCGGGCGCAATGTCCGCAACCTCCTGCCCCATGTCTCTGTTGAGATAGGGAGTATTGTACTGCATGCGCAACATCCTGGGCTTGTCTTGGCTTTGAAGTTCTCAAGCGAGTACACCAGTGACTAAGGCTAGCACTGGGACTCTATACCAGTGGGTCATCAGGGTCTCAAGGTACCTGGATGGGGATTCCACGGACAGGCGGCCATCAAACTCACACTACTGAGAAGCATCCCGAGAGTGTTGGAGAAAGGGTGACACGAAAGAAACGCGATGACTCAGCAAACAACCATAGCACTGAAGCCCTGCATTTAACTTCAATCCCAGGCCTTAGTTTCATGTTGGTGCCCCCGGCATCCCCATGCCCCACACGCTAAGCACCAGCTCGATCAGAACAAACCCACATAGGCACTACTTTCAATTGAGTGCTTCAGGAGGAACGCATTGTTTAGAACACCTGAACAATTCCCCAAAACGATACTTCTACTGCACCATCTGCTCAACGAGGCTCAACTGAATTGCCTTTGAACCCTACTGTACAACCTCTGAATCATAATTTGGACTTCAGGGTGGCAGCGGAGAGACTCCGTTAGACTGATTAAGAGGCCTGTCTGTTGTGTTTTCAGTGCCTCCTCTGTCTCTCTATAGGTCCGATCGTTGCAAGATGCTCTGAACCCCGCAGGCCTGGTCCACTAGCAAGGCTCAAACTCCATGGGTAGAGCTGATCGCTGTGGACAAGGACTTCCGACTATTGAAAGAGAATCTCGATAAAAGAGAGAGAGAGAGAGAGAGAGAGAGAGAGAGAGAGAGAGAGAGAGAGACACACACACACACACACAGAGGCAAACAAGGAGCCGAAATAGAACCTCGCAAAGCATTGCCAAACGAAGCCCGCAAGCCTCAACTCGCGCGGCCTCCGATCTCGAAACCGTCACAGATTTCCAAGGCATGCCAAGGCACATGGCAGCCAAAAGCTCGCGGTACCAACGATCAATGTTGGTCCCTGGCGACTGCAAATCTGTCGGGCCACCAGCCCAATTCCGGGAATCGATCTATGAGCTCAAGCGGCCCTCATGCGGCCTCTCTTGCTTGCACACTCTCTCGCTCTCTCCGCACCTCTTTCGTCCGGGTCTTGAGCCGAAGACCCCTCAGCCTCAGAAGCAGCCCCGCTACCCTCTGCCACAAACGGGCCGATGGCGCTGAATGTGGTCTAAGGCTGGGCAGCTGGAGCTTCGGCTCGGGAGCCGTTCTACCCTGCACCCTGAACTCTCTTGCAAAGTATCATCCCGAAGCGCTTTACCATCCTTTACCTCCTTGTAGCCGCTTCAGGCCTTGAAGCTGCTCCTTGTAGCCGCTTCAGGCCTTGAAGCTGCTAGAGTTAAACCCCAAAATATCTCTGGGTGAAACCGAAAGCCACAACAGGCAACAGGCAGCAAAGCTTCAAACCCTGGGATCCCTGGCGCCACAGCCGCCTCGTGGTCGCTCAGCTGCCACGACATGCGAGGCAAAGGCTGTCGCCACATACGTACCACCAGAAACTCCCGAGATGTACTCCACATCCTGCAATCTGATCTTTGGAGATGTAAAGTGAACCATCAAGGGTTTGGGACTTGAGGTTGTCAGAATTTAAATTGGACATGTAAACCCACAAATGGCCACGATCAACAGTTCGCATGAAAATGACAGGCATTAGCCGTAGGATTCTAGGTTTTCAACGGTACTCCACGCCCTTCAAACATCACCAGGCCTTCAGCATTCAACGATTCAGGGTTCGTATGTGAGCCGCAGATATGAACCACTATCTCAGATCTCAAACAAACTACTGAATTCCGTGTACACGGCCTTACATCTGCAAGAGTTTTGCCTCGCACGTGCCTTCAGGCGTCCACATTCGGCGAGTCTCCACAGCACGCCAGTGGCAAAAAAGGCGGCCCTCACGCCACCACCAGAAAAAGCTAAAGACAAGTTGCGGCCGTCTTGCGCGGGCATCCCTCAGGGTAGGAGAGATTGTTTCGACTCTGACTGTCGTGCTGTCTCAGCCTTTGCCCAGCTCCAACTCAGTATCTCCCAAATATGTGAAAATCGAACTGTGCTGGCCGACTCTAGACTAAGAAAGTCAAGTCAACCAAAATGCCCATCCAACTTGAGGGTCTGTGTTTGTAGGTTTCGGAAGTTCGGTTATTTTCAAGGATAAGAATTCTGGAGCTACTGTGATCAGTGCTTTTCAAGTTTACTTGGGCCTATCACAGGGGTGCTTTATCCGCGAGGCTGGATGAACTCTTGGGAATACAGGATCTCCCAACTTGACATGCAGACAAGCAGTCTGTAAGACGAAAGCCTAGCAAGTTCAGGAGTGTCAAGGGTCTAGACAACCTAAACACCAACCCAAAACCCAAAAACCCTGGCATTGAATATGGCCAAAAGTAGGTGCTGCCTCAACTGCAGGACATGGAATTAGGCAAATCCAGGCCCTAAAATCCCAAGCTTGAGCCGAGGCCTCGCTGGTCCCAGTTGTGGCGGAGGAAGGACCTCTCGTGCTTTCTCACGTCTGCCATACCTCTGGGAGGGTGGAAAAGATGTGAGAAAGTAAGGCCATTTCGGGATCAGCCCTAGGAGTCTTCGGTGTAGGGCTGGGGCTTCAAGGTAGAGTCTCGGGGGTTTAAGGTACGGGGGCTGGGATGGTCTAGGGTTAGTGGGTAGACATGGAGCCCATGCCTTTGATCAATCGATCCCCTTCGTTGAACTTGTCGGCAAACTCGCTTTCCCAGTCCTGAGAGCTGGGACTTCGGAGCGGGTGATTCGGGCACATACCGTTGCTATGTTGGGCTACTGAGCTCCTTTATTATGGCATTATGGGTTTCAAATCCATACAGCGGACTGTCCAAGCCAAGAAACAACAGAACCAACTTCGGCCAAGCAATAATTACTATCAATAGCCCATCGCTAAATCGATAGCAAATCGAAATCGATCGAACCGGTAGATTATATCCATGACGACTAGTACTACTACTACTCTACCTCCTGCTGCTAATACTTCGACTACGACGACTGCTGCTACTACTACTACTACTACTACTGCTGCTACTACTACTACTACTACTACTACTGCTACTGCTACTGCTACTGCTACTACTACTACTACCACTACTACTACTCTACTACTACTACTACTACTACTACTACTACTACTACTACTACTACTACTACTACTACTACTACTACTACTACTACTACTACTACTACTACTACTACTACTACTACTACTACTACTACTACTACTACTACTACTACTACTACTACTACTACTACTACGTACTACTACTACTACTACTACTACTACGTACTACTACTACTACTACTACTACGCGACGAGACGACGACGACATACGGACTACGACTACTACCACTAGAACGACACCTACGACGCGAACCAAAGCCAAGTTATTGAATGTGCGGATCGAGGGTCGCTGCATCCATCGCCAGCGGTAGCCCAAAGCAAAGAATGCGTAGGAAGGGCGCATTCTCTGACGTCGGTATCAGAGTCCGTCATCCCTCTAGGAGGCTTTGCTCCAGTGTGGAAGTTTGCACTCCTGTAGTTGCATGGTTAGTTGCACGCATTCGGTCCGTTGGGTTCGGGGGTACTTCAGCCCCAACACATATAACGCTCGTGTCTAGTAGTTCGCAAGTTTCCGGTGTCTCCCTGCTAAGTCATATCTTGAAGCAGGATCATGCATCTTGGCGTCATTGGACTACGCCCAAAACAATACGGATGCAGCATTTTCCTGGATTCCTCAAACCAGGCCCGTGCCTTGGCTCTTCACCGAAAAACGGCTTGCAGGAGTCTACTGCCACGTCAGATCTTCCGAAGAAGGGACACTGGAAGCGCAGAACACCGTTTCAAGGGTTCTTGCAAAGGAACTTAGATTAGAAGTTACCACTCTTGGAACAAGTGCTTAGCAAAACGTAGCGGCTTTTTGACCTGCAAGCTTCGATATACTTCAACGAACTTCCCTAAGAAGAACCCGCTCCCAAGGATCGAGTTCATTCAGCGTTCCGAGGTTTTGGATCTCCCACTCTCCCCAATTGAGTCTAAATGCGCTACCTCCTGGGTATTCTTGCAGAGTTAGAAACAACAATAATAGGAAACTGCTTTGTGACATGCTTGGCATCATAACTTACCTAGCAGCTACTTGTAGTAGATATGCCGAGACAACAAATATCATCGTTTGTGTCCTCTCCCCCACAGATACAGCTCCAAGCCCGATCCTTCCCTTCGCAGCTCTCCTACAGTAGGTGAGGCTTTCGAGATATGGGCGAGCAATTGGCTTCACGGCTCAGCTTTTGCGATTGCCCGTCCAACTTCCAGAGCGATATCACCACAACAAAAAACAACGCTTGTCAGGAGCCCTGCTCAACTTTGGAATCGGAGCACATAAGTGTTCTGATCACCGGAACCTCGCCCTCTGGGACTCTGGGCCCGAAACCAAAAAAACAAGACCTCCCAAAACCCACTTCAACATCTACGCAGAGCTCCTGATACCTTTTGCGCCACGTTTGAACACCCAGATCTTCAAGCTCCCCAGCACGGCCGAAAGCCTCGCTGATGGTGGCATCTCCTCCCTGGCAGAAAGCCAACAGCTCGGCCTGGCTGAAGCAACAGCCAACAGCCCTCTGCCACCCTCTGTCCCTCTGCCCACATTTGCGGAAAAGCGCTTTGGGGCACCGCAGAAGTGGAATCCACTACAGCTTGGGTTGTGGGAGATCTTTCGAGCTAGGACAAGCCCTAGGCCGCGCACATCTGCACTTCCACTCTGAAAATGTGGAAAGATTTAGAGATTTCGACGGTCGAAGCTTCAACACACAAGTCCATGGCCCTGCCCTGAGCCTACGACAGACGGTGTTGGTCTTTGCATGCTTGAGAGCCATTATGGGCCGTGTCCTCCCATTCTTGACTTTCAACTAATTACGCATGAGATATTACAGCTTGGATGTTCGCTACCTAGGTCCCTGTGTTATATGTAGGACTGTAGTGATCCCAAACTGGGCAACCGCATAAAATGCCAAAAACCCATGAGTGCTACACGTCAGCACGACGAACGCTGCAGAAACTGAAATGCTCAAGCCGATGCCTTTATCTTCGGATTGCTACTGTATTTTTGAAAGGAGGGTGGCCAAGATCGCGGCTGCGCAGAGCACGAATCTGTTAATCTGTCTACCCATGGTGCCCGTTCCAATGATTCAAAAACCGATCGAAGACCTTCCACCGAAATCGCAAAGTTTTCAATCCATCTAACAGGCCCTGTTGCCAGGAATTCGCACGACTCATCCACACGGTCCGAGACCTGGCGAGACTACTGTGTATGGACATTGTATGTGCACCTGGTATGGGCTGCAGGGCTCACAGGGTTTTGGTTACCCTTGAAGGGTTCTCGATAATTACATCTCGAGGTCAAAACCGGGGCTTGCAATTTAGTGTGCTACACGAATCTTCGTTTGACGGCTTGGGGCGAAGGGGCTTATACATGGTTGGGCCATACGTCTTCCGTCTTCCGAAGACTGGTGGACTCGCAAGGACGCCGGCAGACGTCAGGCGTGCGGCGTGGGGAGCATGCTGGAGTCTACAAGTAAGCTTTAAAACTTCACCATGCTGACAACACGGAGTCTAAATCGACTGAGGCGTTCAGTTTTCCAAGCAACCAACACCGAAGAACCTACACCAGTGCGTGCCCGATGTGAGTGTCCTTGGAGGACTGGGTGCCTGTACATGCCTGGATGGGAGGGCAAACGCTGGGACATTGGTGTCCCTCAGAAGGAAAGCAACATTTTCTGCTCGGCTCGGTATGCATCCGGCGCTTCTGGACATTACGGGCCTATACGCTGCAAAAGCATTCAATGGGACTACAAACCAAAGTCTAACGCCGATGTTTGACAGTCCCTCGTTGTCCAGAGGCGTAGATCTGTACAGGTACCGAGCTTGCGAGGCAAACAGGTGGCCTCTTCTGGCTGCCGAGCTTAGATGCGACAAGGTCTCGCCAGCAAGCGGCCCCCGAATCCCAAATTATGCCCTATGCCCGAGACAGGAAGGAAGTCAAGGGCAAAGTTCCAGCCCTTTTCTTAGAGGGCCTCTGGAAAGGTGCAGCAATCTTCGCGGCTGGAGCTAACTCCACGGCATCCTGGCGCCGCCCAGCCCTCGCGCCCCCTGGGTTCTGCCCTGCCTTGCCGCGCGTGGGCTCCGTGGACTTCGGGATGATCCAGCTGCAAAATGACGCCGTGAACGGATCCACGACGACGAAATCCAGGAAGATCGCGAAGAGGATTGATGTCCCCCACGTGCCCAACATGGAGTTCCAGGAGTCCATACCAAAGAGCCCGCAATGATGCACACAAAGAGCCCAAGGCCAGTGCGTCAAGGCAACAGTATATGAGAGCTTCAACATTGATGCTGCCAGCCGGCGGCTGCCATGTGTGGGGCCGAAAATCCGCCTGAAAGAGTTGCAATCACAGCTGATAAGTACCAATAGGGCAAGCTGGACAGGTCCTGTGACCAGGTTGTTGTAGGCGACGAGCGCATCGATCCCGGGCGACCCAGTCGATGGCAGAAAGTTCGTGCACACAATCAACACTACAATTAAGACGTCTGTCAGCAGCCAAACATGCCATTTTCGGACCCACGTCGGCAGTGAAGTCCGGGCAGTGATCTGCTCCAGCAAAGCCCCCATGAAGGGAACCCAAATCTGTGTGGGACTCCACACGTGGACTATGCGTCCGTAGCTGTCTAGGTCCCCGGTCCATCTTTCGAGCAGCAGCAGCACTAGGCAAGCGAGGCCTGTGCGGAGGGCATACAAGAGGGTCACCACAAGAGCGAGCCGCCGAACACTTTGCCTGCGAGTCCACCTCAGAAAAGGAGGAGACATATAGTGATAGGATAACAATGTAGAGACGAACCAAAGGGGCTGGTTCATGGTCCACCATGACAGGAAGGGGTTCCAGCTACCGATGGTCAACATCTCCAGGCCGTACTGCAGCTTGCACTCCCAGCTTTCACACTGCAAGGACAATGGAAGGCTTGTGAAGGCCACCGCCACCATGTAAGGCGGGATGAGGCGTGCCACTTTCCGAAGCATGTGACTTGTCCAGCTAGCATCCTTCCATGTGGCGGACGAGAGCCAGCCAGAAATGAGCATCATGCCCATCATCAGCTCCACACCATGATCCACCGTCTTATACTGCAGATAATTCGCCAGTTGCACCCGGTGCATTGGGGCGCTCAAAAGCTGTTGGTGGACGCCAACCAACCCCAAGATGTAAAATGCCCTCACCCTGTCAAAAGTCGCTACGGTCTCGGAACCTTCTGGCCGATACGAGGCAAGTGTGCGACTTTCCATGCTGAACGTTGAGAGCGGCCCTGCGGGACGGGGACTCGAGGCTGACTCTTGAACCGTAGGTTCGGATCAGAAGATGCCCCTGACATCATGACAGTCTTAGGGAGCAATTAAAGCTTTAAACTTCATTTCTTTTGGATCCCTCTGCCCTTTCCCTCGCGAGCATCCCGCACAGTCGCCACCTCTGCCGTATGCACCGGACTACTCGCAGAAGCGTCTGTCCAAATCTTGTTGGCTGGAAGTTCTCGATTAGGAGTTGGAGTAGTAGGTGTTGTTGTAGTAGAAGAAGTAGCAGTAGTAGTAGTAGTAGTAGCAGCAGCAGCAGCAGTATAGAGGGGGAGTAGCAGTAGCAGCAGTAGTAGTCGTAGTAGTAGCAGTAGTAACGGCAGTAGTAGCAGCAGTAGTAGAAGTCGTCGTCGTAGTAGCAATAGCAGTAGTACCCTAGCCGCTCGTAGGTGATCGCTCGCGAGCATCCCGCACAGTCGCCACCTCTGCCGTATGCACCGGACTACTCGCAGAAGCGTCTGTCCAAATCTTGTTGGCTGGAAGTTCTCGATTAGGAGTTGGAGTAGTAGGTGTTGTTGTAGTAGAAGAAGTAGCAGTAGTAGTAGTAGTAGTAGTAGTAGTAGTAGTAGTAGTAGTAGTAGTAGTAGCAGCAGCAGCAGCAGTATAGAGGGGGAGTAGCAGTAGCAGCAGTAGTAGTCGTAGTAGTAGCAGTAGTAACGGCAGTAGTAGCAGCAGTAGTAGAAGTCGTCGTCGTAGTAGCAATAGCAGTAGTACCCTAGCCGCTCGTAGGTGATCGCTGCACGAACTGTTCCTCTCGCAGAAGCGGGGGATGGGGGGGGGGTGGCCGAAGAACATACGTTGTTGTTGCTGCGATATGGGAAAGTCTGGCCGGATGCAAACGATAGATCTCTTCAGGTCTGCCTTCGAACTTGCCGCCATCAAGCCTCGTTAGACCCCATGCCTGCCCAAACCTTCATTTCCACAGCTCATCTCCGTGTTCTGGTGTACGAGAGCTCTCAAGCCCAAAACTTCATGCCCACAGCCCATATCTCACAACTTGTCATCTTGCCCCTCGAGCCGAAGATTGCATTCCTTCAGGTTCATCTCAATTTTTTTGACTTCGGCCCTGAAGCCAAAACCTTCATTCCTAGAGCTTCCTCTCATGTTTCCCAAAGCAGTCCGGAATCTGCTGACGTAACTCATGATGATCATGACACTTATATGCTTGCGGATGACAAGAAGCCTGCAAACACAAAGTCTTACCGATCAACTGCCGGCATGTACATCCGAGTAGTTGAAGTTTTCACTCTCGCATCGCAGGAACCGAAGTCGACAGGCGAGGAAGTTTGGGGAAACAACGTCCGCTTGCATCAACTGTTCTTCATGATTCATGATGCAAAATAGTTGAAATAGTTGTGCGGGGTTGTTGATACTACGGTTTTCGTCCGGAACCGCCGAATACCCTGTAATTTACACTACATTGGTGTCCTTACCTTAGTAGTAGCAGTAGTAGTAGTCGTCGTCGTCGTAGTAGTCGTAGTAGTCGTAGTAGCAGTAGTAGTAGTAGTAGTAGCAGTAGCAGTAGCAGTAGTAGTAGTAGTAGTAGCAGCAGTAGCAGTAGTAGTAGCAGCAGTAGCAGTAGTGGTAGTAGTAGGAGGAGTAGTAAGCAGCAGCAGCAGCAGCAGAACTAGTAGTAGCAGCAGCAGTAGTAGCAGCAGCAGAATGTCGGACAGTGGTAGAGACAAATTCAATAAAACAGTTAAGAACGCGATGCCCTCGCTCCCTCAAGAAGCGCACCTTTCTTGCGCTCAAAGGCTCGCCGTGAGCTAGACGGCTTAGTAGCCGGTCCAGGACTAGACCTTGGAGAATCATTCAAGTTTCTGGACGGCTGGATCGCTCCAGTTTCCAGGATGCAGTCCAATGATGGAGTTTTCAGGATGCAAGAGCACCGCTTTGAGGAGAGGTATTGGAACTTGGAATACATCTGGGGCGCAACGACGATGCCACATAGCTCCTTATAGCCAGTCGTTCAGGGTCCCGACAATAAGTTGAAGACTTGTGCTAGCCTTCCGATGAGGTAGTAGTGTCATCGAGTTCAAGCAGTAGCACTTTATACTTCTCCTACTGTACGTGTTGAGACAGCAGCGGTAAAGGCAAGGACGAGGCAGTACGGGGCAGATGGGGTGACGGTAGTGATGGTGGCGATGGTCGTCGTGGTGGCGATGCCGGTCTTGGCGAAGGTGGCAGTGAGGATGACGATGCCGACGACAGGGACCGGGTCGTGAACGCCGACATGCGCAGCAATAGTGTATGCACTCTGTTTTTGCCAGGTGCTTTTCGTGTAGTGCCAGCTGTACTGCTAGTACTGCTCAGCCTTGAGGATATTCTAGCATTACCTTCGGAATGAGCAGGGCTGGGCCGGATTTGCAACTGCGCCGTGCGGGCTTTCTAGCATACGGTGTCCTTAGCTCTGAGTTCAATCGGATGAGCCTTCTCTTGCCCTACTCTACACCTGATAGTGGCTCAAGTGGCCCATCAAGCAAACGATGTGCAGAGATTAAGTTGCTACTGCTGTCCGCCTCGCAGCCGCGAGGCCCTACTTAAGTGCATTAAGCGGTAGACTCAAAGACCCTTAGCCCATACCAAAACCTCCAGCCCGACTGGAAGCCCGGACGGCCGTCTTTCGGCCTCGGGGAGTTGTGCGTTCTTCACACTTTCTTGTACGAGGCGTGGTCCGAAGCTAGGGCCAGGGCTTCAAGCGATTGACGGCTCACGATGCTCCAAGGTGCTGCAGGGTTTCGGAATGTAGGGCTTAGGCCTTCATGTACCGAGCATCCAAGGGTGAAGGGCAAGCTCCAGGATTCGGAGATGTGTAGAGAACATGAAATGACATCTTTTGACAGTCGTGATCACATCACACGGTGGACAATATACTCAGAGAAGACTAGCCGACTAGCCAACCTGGACTCTGATAACAAGACATCAGGTTTCGTGAATGCGCCCTCAGCCTCTGCTCGAATCTTGACATCCTCATGCAATAGTGTGTGCTTTATGCTCCTCAGGTGGGGCTTGCATCTAAATCTTTGTAAAACTGACAACAGATCCTGCAACACTCCTGATACTTCCGACACTGAAAAATCTCTTCTTTCATTGATTCGACGACCAGATAGCAAAGCATCTCAGAACAGCTAGGCAGCTAGTCACTCAGTGGAAGAGGTAAAGGCAAGTTCGTCCGTTGACAACGGCATGACGTAAGTTCCTCGGATATTGTCCCTCCGCAAAATGACGACCGCTAGGCGCATTGCGGAAAAGGCTGCACAAACGCTCTTCTGTGCTGGTGGGTCGAGCTTTCAGGGCTTCGGATTTCCACACAAGCTGGATCACCAAACAGCCTTATATGATACATATATATATATATATATGTGTGTGTGTGTGTGTGTGCATTTTTTATTTTGCAAAAGCCCCTTCAGACCATGATTCTGTAGAACAAACTGTCTTGCCCCACCCAAACCTTAAGCATAAAGTGTGGGCCTGCAAACCCCAACAGCACCTGGAGCCCCAGAACCGTCGTACCTTTGACCTCGAAGAACCTATGCTGCGGGCAGTCAGAACCCTACGATAGGAGTCCGACAATCAATCAGAGAGCCAGCAGCCAAAAAAACAACGATTTCCAGTCACGTGTTCAGGAATACGTCCTGTGCATGTGGGAAGCCTTCAAAGACCCTCTGACGGCCCAACGGGAGTTGTGCCAAGAAGGCCGCCACCTGCACGCGAAGATCCTCGAGCTCCTGAAGTTGATCTAACCTTAAAAGGCTCTGCTATCCTTGCAAGCCGTGAGGCTTCTCTGTGTATGTTGCGTAATGTTTACGGGTTCGGCTCTCACGCTGGCACAAGGCAGGCAAGGCAGGCAAGGCTGCACAACAACGGCACGACTACAATCGTGGTGTCAATCCGCCTTCGTGTGCAACGGTGAAGGAGTGCTGGGGCCGTGGGTGGTGAACACAACCTGCCTGAGATGTGATAACGAAATCTTACACGACGAGCAAAAGCAGCTTACTGCAAGCATCGCTGCAACTCTCATGAAAGCTGTCTTCTACGCTCGGCTTCTGATGATACATATGCGTGTGTATATATATATATATGTATATACCACGTGCAAGAGTGTATGTGTGCAGTTTACTGTATGCCAGTGCGTATGTGCGTATGTATGTAAGTCTGTACTTATAAATACACACATACGTATACACACAAGGCGTGTGCGTGTATGCCTGCCTGCCTACCGCCTGCCGCTGCCCTGCCCTCTGCCCCTCTCTCTGTCTCGTTCTCCTGATGGGCATTTTAAGTATATTGGTCTCTAAAGGATCAGGGATTCTCAACTGTGTTCTCAGACACATGCAAATCGAATTTACAGCAGTATGTCCCCCTGTTCGAACAAGATATAACGAACGATCATTCCAGAAAACAATAGTAAAACCTACTGTAGGAGGGTCATGTAGCACAGAGGATACATATATCGACCGCTCCACGGTCGCAAGGATTGACAACTTCGTTGTTGGTGTCATTGTTCCCCCCGTGTAACTAATTATACCAAATGTATAAAGCTATATCAGCAGATGTCTGACACCATTGTTGCCGACATGGCTTGAAGCAAATGACGGTCTATCCGGGTCCCCCTGTGTGTAAACAACAATGACGATACCACTCACTAAAATGCATGACAATCAAGACATCAGGACCGGTTGACCCAGTGAGACAGATCGATTTGAAATAGATCGGTGTCATTCCTCCCATGGTACATGAGAAAGGTCGAACTACCACACTCAATCCATACACAAGAGCCCTGATAACAAATGGAGAAACTTTGGGTAGGAATCGGTTACAGGTTCTTCGAAGTCCTCGTAGGCAAAAGCCAATTCTGAACAACCGTACAGCACTCACCATCAGAATTATTAACCTAGTTCCCCTGTCCGGACTTCGTTGGGCTCGACAAACTATCTAGGTACTTCAAAGCCGCTGCCACTTTGACCTTCCCAGGCTAAAGATGCTCATTGAAGTAGGATTCTCAAGATTGCAGTACCAGAGTGGGTTTTCAGTGGCTGCTGTTTAAAACTTCTCTCTCTCTCTCTCTCTCTCTCTCTCGCTCTCGCTCTCGCTCTCTCTCTCTCTCTCTCTCTCTCTCTCTCTCTCTCTCTCTCTCTCTCTCTCTCTCTCTCTCTCTCTCTCTCTCTCTCTCTCTCTCTCTCTAACTCTTTCTGTCTCTCTCCGTTTCTCTCCTTCTCCCTCAATCTCTCTTTACCTTTGAATGAATATATATATATATATATATATATATATATACTATTATAACATTATATATATATATATATATACACATAAATGTATATATATATATATATATATATATATATATCGAAAATAATGTTGAATAAAATACGTATACATATATATATATATATATATATATATATATATGTATATTTAGTTACTTATTTACGTATTTATCTATTTATTATTTTGTTCTGTTATATTTTCATATACGGTAACATTATATATCGTTATGTTATAATTTTTGTATAAAAGCATATGTAATGTGTAATGTAAATATATAATGATAATAACAATAGTAATAATAATAATGATAGTAATTAGGTCTGCGCTCGTCCTGTCGCGGATTCATCAAAACCGCTATGCGAAGGCCCGAAAAGCTGAACACCATCCCCACAAAAGAACTGAACCACTTACATCAGCGACTCTGTTAACTCCTTAGCCACATCTACGAGACTGACATGCGCAAACATGAAGATCAACGCCCAGTGCACTGAAGTCATCAAGGGTGGGCTGTAACCAGGAGCGAAGCTTCCCGGGTGGAATTTGTAGGGTTGGCTTCTGTTGACAGTTTTCGGATCCAGTTACTTGCGCTTCAAGGTTCGAAACTCAAGGCACAGTTTTTGAGTCCCTCCTGCATAGCCGCGATCTGACTGCGAATTATCTCACTGATAGCATGCACCTTCTTCATGTAAGACAGAAACAGCTGGGCAGGCTGAGGGCTAAGGTCTGCTCAGGTCAAAGCTGGGCATATGTTTTTCTGACAACGAATTTGGAGTTTATGGTCGAGGGCCCTTGCAATACGCATGCTTGGCTCGGGTTTGTATGATACTGCCGGTGCCTGGTTTTATGAAAAAGTCATGCCATGTCACAGGAGAGTTGATTTAGGCTGCACAGCGCAACTATTTATTCTCCTCAGAGGAGGCACAGCGCTTACGCATGATCCTGATGCTGAGGCAAAGCCTGTGCCACGATCCTGCCTGGAAATTTTGCTGGGCTGTCGACCAGTGAGCTTAGGACAAACAGACAATATGCTCCGTGCAACTCACACCTCGCTCCACATCGTGCTTAATTTCTGGCCCTCAGCCCGAACACATAAACCCCGAGCCGGAAACTGTACAACGACTGCAGTGGCTATGCAGCCAACAAAGGCCGGCTGGAGTCAGTCGGACTGCCGGGATCCAAAGGGTCCTGGATCGAGGATTTACGGTTTTTGTTGGGTCTAGGCGTCTACATGGTGCAGGACGGTGCAGGGGTCCTGTCAATGTACCTACAATCAGAACAGCGATGCCATCAACCCAAACTGTAGCAGCCGGGCCATGCCGGTCACCAACAGCACCAACCACAAAAAACGATTTTTGCCACCCCCCCAGCTGAAACAAGTCGCACCGCAGGGAACTCGTCCGAACTTACTGTGACCGCAAAACGAGCAGGATCCCAGGGCCAAAAAACGATTGAAACGGGTTTTTCGCTAGCATGCAACGATAGCAGTAGCCATGATCCCGATAGTGGTACTGCCAATGATAACAGCAGTAGCGGTCGCAAGAGTACGCTTGATGGACTGAAAAGCAAGCGTGCAGTTGCAATAAGCTTTCGGGAACTTCAGGTAGTGCTGGACTTCGTCCATCCACACCTATTTTGGCTCCTTGTCAAGAAATTGCCATAGGCCCCAAAGTAGTTCCTTTTTGGGGTTCATAGGTAGAGACCACGGATGTCCTGCAGGCTCCGGGCATAGGGAAAGCCGCAGCAGCCGATGGCATCGGCAGCTCGTGGAGTGACGTCCCCACCCTTAGCTTCCCCATTTTGATATTAAGGGAAATTTTCTATACTACGAATTGCCGGTTTGGTTTGTGCATCCCCGAATTAAGTACTTCGGCACTCGGGTTCAATCTCCAAGGATTTTTGGAGTTGGACCCACGCCATTATCAGGATTTAGGCATTGACTCTGACCTCGCGCAAGGCAGGTCAGGGCTTCGTGACAAAGGAACCACCGAAGGCACCAAGGATTAGCATAGCTGACTGCTGCAAGCTTAAGCGATTGCGCTTTCAAGTTGATGTATCGGATCGTTCCCTGCACAAGTGCCAAAATGGCACCCTGACCGTTGCCGACAATGTGAAGGTGCCAATTAGGAGACCGGCTGTAAGGAATTAACGGGATGAGAGTCCCCATGAGTCCCCATTCCTACCGGAAGTCGTCCCTGCAACGGAACCGGTTCCGAGCCCTTGGCTGGCGAGCCTCGAGATTCCATATGCTTTCTCTTCCTTCCCATTCACTTGTTTCCCCAGTTTCCCCGGCGAAGCAGACGTTAACCTTAGTCGAGAATGTCCCCAAAAGTGTTCCGCGATTGCGTGCGGGAACAATGCTCTCAATTTGGATCATGCTCCCGAAAGCATTCCGAGGAAGGGCCCCTGAAGCTTTCTAATTCGAACTGTCATGCTGCAGGGCGAATTTCGGAAGAGCTATGGAGCTGCTGGGCATATCCGGCACATTTTTGTTGGAAGACAAAAAGGCATGCGGAGTCCTCTGTAGGAACACTGGATTGAATGCTTTTTGGGGCGAAAGGGTTAATCGAACACCTACTCGAATGGGTCAGTTACTCTTCCTGAGGCTTTTCGGGAATGTTCTTGGAATATCTACCCTTCCGACCCAGAAGATCTTGTACTGCACCAGTGTACAGAAGAAAAGCATACATGACCAACCTTAAACAAACCACCATCAATCTTCGAAATCCTGAACCCTGGACATTGAATCACCGCACTTCTTTCCCAAAGCTCTAGAATTGAAGGCCCATATACCCTGAAGCCCCCAGCATTCATGGAAACCTTACAGTTCATTTTCTTTAGCAGATTAGCGGAGGCAGTGCACATCGCTCTGATCTACGCTTTTGCTTTGTAGCCCAGCTGCTCTGGGGCTGGTGATGTTCCTTAGCAGGCCAGGGCCAGGGCCAGAGCTTTAACATGCTTTTGATTCGATGAGATTGGGGTGTCGTGTTGTCGCATTGCTACTGTTGGGGGGTCCAGAGAGGCACTTTGCATAAGCTCAACGCATCTGTCTGCCCCCCCCCCTGTCCCCCAAATGCGAACAACCCAACGTCCGAAAGGATCAGGATGCCGCGACTATGAAAACTCGAATCACTCCAACGACGTGTGCACGACAGTGCCGATCCCCAAGAGTCCGCAAACGTCGGCCCAACAATCACGACAAACGGCTACTGCTACGAAGCCCGGACTGTCATGAACATCACACGCGATACCGCTAACCAGAAAAACAGTGTCCGAAAGCTTCTGACAGACGTTGCCTTTGGATCTGCACTTCCGTAAGACATCTCGAAGTGTTGCGGGACTTGTGGCACGGCAAAACTCACCGTTCAACATGTATCAACAATTGGAAGCTCCAAAAGTTAGCAAAGTTAGGATCGAAGGCTTTTGCAACGGCCTGTTAGAAGATTTCTCTAACTTGACA